ACGACGACTTGTGCCGCATCTACTTGCAAGAATTCTCCACAAAATATTACAACTTCTTATTCCTAAAATAATTCGTGAAGGCAGTTTTGAAGACACTCACATTGCGTTTTTCTCAAATGTTGAAGTAAGGAAGGTCGTATTAGAAATAAGGACCGATAGGGTTTTTTCACTTTTATTTGGCATTCAGTAGATATAAAACAGTCTTGACGAGGAAACGAGTTGTTCCAAATGGAGTATTTTCACTACTTGAGAAAACAAAAAAAACTTGTGAAAAAAATTATTCTGTGAAACAATCGGTGCTTTTCGTGTGGGGGCCTTTCTCCGCAAGGTTCTTCTCGTTCGTGGGTTTCTTCTACCGGGTGCTTTTCTCTTGCACCACCGGAGTGAATTATCTCGGTACCGCGAATGAACGCTATGAAGAGAAATACCGCAGCGTCATCGGACGAACGACTCACTTCTAAAGACGATGTTTTATCGTGAAAGTGGGTCCGCTTAGGTCAAGAATCAATCACCTTCCGTGACACGGCTCGTCAGGACAGATGCTGGGTGGACCTTTTCTTCTGCTGCGCTGGTTCCGGTCTCCCGCGTGCTTGTCACTGCCGGTATACAGACAAAAATGACATTCGCTCGGGTTTCCGTCTGCTTCCCCGAATTTATTTTACTTTTATTTTTTCCCAGTGACACGAATTATTGCGGCGCCGCGAAATCGCTGGTGACCAGTTTTTAGTACAGTTGGGCGTTGCCGGTTCCTCGAAGAATGAGCAGACGACACTGAACGACGATTGCTCAGAGAATTGCGACCGCTCGCCCGTGCGCCGTCGCAAATTGCGCATTAGTGCTATTAATTACGACATGAAAACAATTAAAAACTGTCTTTCGACGAGTTCATTTCTCCGAGACACGTAACTGTAGAAACTGCGTGGGATGCAATATTCATGCACTCCTGAGATTCGAGCGTATGATTCCCGTGTTTCCTCGAGGATAAGACCGGTATTTTGTTTCCATCAAAAAGTGAACTAGGGCTAATTATCGGAGTAGGTCTTATTTCCAGGTGAACAGAGGAACACAATCCAGGAATCAGTAATAAAATTGTTGCGTTTCATTCTTCCTCCACTTTCCAGTTCAATTTTGTAGTCAGGAATTTACGTTCTAATGAATTTCGAAGCTAAGATAACTGCAGATGAAGAACACGCTGAATCAGAAGAGGGTGATTTAGGAGGAGCCTCGTCGTACAAAATATTGGAAACTCCATAACGAAAAGCTGAATTTTGCGTACGGCTACACACTATAGTTTTAGTTTACAGAAAAAAAACCCGATTGCCTTATATTTTGGAGCTGCAGGGGTGTTTTGGTGAGAAGAGAATCGATTGAGTATGAATACAATACTGAAAAAGAATTTTGTAGGAGTACCCATCATGAGCCCTAGCGAAGTAAAATTTGCGTGTTCAACTTGGCGTTCCGAAGAGTTCGCAAAGGTTGCAGTATGTTAGTTAAATTCAGAAGAAGGCTTTTCAAAATTTTGTCTACAGCTTTATCGTCTCGAAGCATCTTCAATAGTTATTTTGGATTTTACGGTCGTAAAAGCAGCCGACGTTTTCTTGAGTTAATTTTGTTCAAGTATTCGCTCGAAAGAATATTTTGCAGCCCATACTCCATTACTCACGAATAGTATCGTACCTGCTAGATGTGGCTTATGCTCAAATGCAAATCTTTCGAAAATAAGCCACAACCGATTTTGGTGCGTGTTTTCAATCGGAATGAGTGCGACCCATGATCGAGTGAGTATTTCGTAGTTGGGTATTTCTGGATACATTTTTCTCAGTGATTAACGGCGTTGGGATCGAAAAATAAGGTCCGTTAGTACGAGTACATGCAACCAGCTTGTTGCTAGTGAACTGCGTGGGCGCTTGATGAACTGTTCTTTCTTCGCATGTACTTGCTCTGGTTGCGCTTCCCTGCGATGTGCGAGGTCGAAATTTTCTCGGAGTGGTTTGCTGTGTTAAAAACGCCTTAATTGATGATTCAGGCTGTTCGTCTGCGGGGTATTAAATATCAGTATTGCAACATGATGCATGGGCGAGAGTCAACGAAAATTAACGCGTGGAAGATATCTGTGAATGTCAGAAAGGACTCTCTGTGTACCCGCTGCCGTACCGAATTAAATATCCTGCGCTGTATCGAGTTGTTTGGAGAAACCAGTAGTTAGGTAAACTTTCCGTCATATTTGTCATTTATTGCTAGAGTGATTTTGATGGAAAAAACTCCTTCATGCGAGTTGCTTGAAGGCAGCTCAACAGCATGTACCGAAGATCGCGTGTTCGTAAAAGGTAAGTGTGCAAATGGAAAAAAACTCAGAGACAGAAAAATTCCTAGACGAAATCTAAATTAGTTTTTTTCGATTTTTTTAAAAACTCATTTGGAAGTTTGGTTTTTATTCTTCGTTGGTGTTTTTTCCCTTCTTGAGTCTTTTTTGAAATTGAAATGCTCCCCATACCTGAAAAATAAGGTTCTCATCCTGCCTCGCATGCGCATAAAGTTTCACATCGTTTAAGTGCTATCATAATTGAAAGAGATATTCTTTATGACAATTTTCGAGATCTGACGAGTATTTTCCGATGAAAAGTGTTCCAATCTTCTAAATTGTAAGTGGTGCTGTTGGAATGTTGTTCTATCTGAAACTTGCCCAAGTAGGGTCTAATATCGAAGGAAAAACACGGAATATGAACACAGATATACCTCGAGTATTTAATGATCTCAGGGTGGTTTGTTGGATTCTGGCTTGGAAACTTTAGCATAACTTCATTTCTTTGTGATGAAACAATTTGTCGAACACCTCGTCAAGGAATTTGTATTCGAGGCACCAGTCCGAATTTCACGAGTATTTAATCTAGAGAAGCTGTTTTAATTGCTTTGTTTTGGAATTTTCTGTTTTTGGTACGCGTTATATTTTAGTAGCTCTGTTTTAAAAAGTGCTCTTCCGACCATGATTTCTACACTAACTGGAAACCCTGCGATCGAATATAATTCGTTGCAAAATAATGGCCAATGGCAGCGAACCAATTTAGCATAGATTTATTAACAAAAACTAAAGCTTTTTCACCTCTTGGCGTAATGAAATTGAAATATTGCCGGCATGGAAATATTGCATGCATATAGAGAAAATACTGGGGGAAATTTGTATTGGTGGTGGAAGTATATTCAATGCAGGAAAAACTTTGGAGAAACTTACATGGAACGAATTGTTGCAATATATGTGAGAGGAAGGATTGAAGTGAAAGCCATATGAAAAAAAGATAATGGAAACTGTTGCAGTATACCCTTGAATGCGCTTTGAAGTGAGACCAGGAAAAAAAGATATTTTGGATTGCTTTAAAGTGTCAACAATACAGTTGTGCAGCACTCATAAAATTGTTCCAATTCCAGGTTTGTTGGATGAAGAATTTATCGTGAAAGTCAATTTTTTACTGATCTAATAGGATAACATAATTCGGTGCGTTCCTAAAAATGAAGAACGCTAAAAAAATCATGCGACAATTTTGCCACTGTTTAAGGAAATACGGTACATATAAAAATTTCACAAATTATCGTACCGTATTGGATGCTGTTTTTATAATTGTTTGAGCCTTTTTTCAGTATTCATCATTTTTTCTGAACATTCCGTCGGCCCTCTGTTCTTCGAATAGAATGCACAAGTTTGTTACGGGGTCGAATTTTGCTCGAAGGAGATCCAAGCCAATTTCACTCACAATAGTAGTTCGTTAGGCAAGGAAACGCTTTTTATTATCCCAGTTGCTTTTCTCTGATTTCCTGAAGTTTGCTACTTCGATTTTATTCGGTAAGGTATTTTTAGGCAAGCCTGCATTGTTGGGGCTTGCTTCGAATTAGCTAATCTCTTCAGAAAATACGAAAAAAATTATTCAATCGGACTATGCAATTTTCTCTTATGGCAATGTTTATTTTGACTCTCCCGGCATTTTCTTTGATTTCATTATTGTTCTGGATTCAAGTGGAGAACTGCCACTGGAGCTGAGATCCTCGCAGTAAATATGCCTGATGCGGCTGTTGGCAACTGCCAGAGAAAAATATTTCTCAGGTCTATCTTTGAGCTAGGTTGTTTTCTCTGCCAATCGGTGGGGTTTGCTTTGAATCATTCAATTCTCCCTGTGTGACTGATGAATTTCTTGTCCCGGCATTTAGTTTCATTTACCGTGCATTTTCTCCTGACCCAATAATTGCTCTACATTCATGTGGAGAACTGCCCCCCTTGATGTGCCTGGTGCGGCTGTTGGTCACCGCCCGAGAAGAAAAAATATTACCCTTGAACCTGAATAACTCGAACTTCCTTAGTCGAATACCTCCGTAAGTCAAATTATTTCCATGCCCCTCTCTGAATTCCCTTGGAATCAATGCATCTAAAGCCTGTCTTAACTCCAAAGCTTCCCCTCTCAAACCTCAATAGCTCGAATTTCCTGATGGACGACTTTTTGGCCATTATTTTTATTTACTCATGAAAGAGAAAAGCAATGAAAATCTAGCATAATGTGCTTTGAAAGAGAGTGTAAGACTACTTGGACAAATGAACCGGCCTTGCCTCCAAGTTCAGCATCCTGTCAACTCATTCAAGAAGCAATTCAAGACCCAGAGCATCACGGTTTTCAATTTCCTGCTATTCTTCAATGTTTCCCACGACAAATAATTCTTGCTTCACAAACTCCAAACCTTCCTAAGTTGATATTTTGCTGGTGCCTTGAAATTAAACTTACAGAGGTTCGACTGTACTATGCTTGAGCTAGGATTGTTTTTTGAAAAATGAAATCCCCTCATCCGATGCTAGCCACTACCTGAGGAGAAATCCTACTGTGTTCGAGGTAGGATTGTTTCCTGAGTCAAGAATTTTGTTGAATCCTCGCTTTGAATCATTCAGTTACTCCAGTGCGACTGGTAAATTTCTCGTCACGGGATTTGTTTCATGCCTAATTTCCGTGCATATTCTCCTGACCCAGTAATTTGTTTGCTTTCAAGTCGAAAGTTGCCACTGGAGCGATCGGCGGGGCTGAGATCGCCGCAGTCGATGTGCCCGAGCGGCTATTAGCGACTGAGTGAGTGAGTGTGTCGATACCATGATGAACATTGCGTGGGTGTCGTTGTTCGCGATGACTTTGTACATGAGCAGCGCGACGGCGGAAGAAACAACCATGACCCCCGTGAGTCCCGTCGGGCGGAAAATGTACATTCCAGACAACATTTGCTTCTGGAACGACGACGTGCCTCCGACGGAATTGATGATAGTGTGCCATTGCGACGGTCACCTCGAAACGGATTTCTCTTCCGCCGAGTTCAACTGTTGGATAGTCACGCAGATGTACGAAAGCGATCCGATTTGGGACGTGTTCAAGCGACAGGGGAATTTGACGCACTTGACGTTCAATCTGCGGCAAGACGGTAACATGAGCTTTATTCCCAAGAAAGCCCTGCAGCACATGGACAAGCTGGTCACGTTTAAGGTGAACCACGCGAGCATCCCGCGCATTCGTGCGCGAGACTTCTTCAACTTGGCGCACTTGACGGAGATCAAACTCAGCTCCTGCGAGATCAAGAAAATCGAGAAGCAGGCTTTCTATAACTTGACCAGCTTGTCGGTCCTCGAACTGAGCCATAATAGGATAGATAAAATCCGCAAAAACGTGTTCCACCTATTGCCGAAGTTGGAGAAGCTCTACTTGGATCGCAATGGATTGAAGGAACTCGAGGCCGGCTGCTTCAAAGAGTTGGTGAGCCTGGAGCATCTCGAGCTTTGGAAGAACGAAATCGCCAACATTACGGAGAAGACCTTCAGGAACCTGAAGAGCCTGATTAAATTGGATCTCAGCGAGAACCAAATCGAGTACTTGCCGAATTACCCGTTTCAAGACCTCGAGAACTTGAGAGAACTCAACTTGGATGACAACAGCGTTCGCTTCATTGACGAATTCGCCTTCTTCGGGCTGTCGAACTTGGTGACGTTGCAACTTCGCGACAACAAGCTTGTCAACCTTGGCCAAGGCCTGTTTTACTACACACCGAAGCTCACCGTCCTGGATCTCCGCCAAAACGTGCTCGAAACTTTGCAATTTCACACCATCGCTAATTTGGCCGCCAACTTCAACAACGTGTCATTCTCTATGACCCTTACAGGTTAGTAAATTCATGTTTCTTGTTCACCTTCCTGATTCACTCTTATGTTGAAATAATATTTCGTGAATCTGACGGATATCCCGTGGAGTGCTGTGATCGGTCAATCTCAAGTCTATCACGATCAGATTTTGTTTTAGTATATTCGTTCCATCATCAGCCTTTTTTTCCCCCTTGAAATATCAGGCTGGCTACGAGGGTCGATCCATAAGTTCTATTGGTCTTCGTCCTGTTCCTGCAGTTTTTGGATGGATATAGAATCATTTCATGATCCATGTTCCAATTGTTGCTCGCCTGAGTTGAGATAGAAAGTAAGGCAGATATGTTTGTAAAAGTACCTCATTCTAGGAAGGATATTTGGTTCATCTGTAACGGATGCATGTCTTATGAATTTTCAGGCATTTCAAGTTCTATGCGATTTTTGAAATCATTGGAAAATCTTCGCTGTGATTATGTCAGAGCGATGAAGAAATCCAGTAATTCAATATTGGAATTTTTCGGGTTTGTCATAGTAATTATGGGAAGCTTCCATCATTTTCATTTGAGATAAAGTTATATATTGTATGAAAAAATGTTTAGCGAGTGAAAAGACACATTAAGCCTCGGTTTTGATCCCACATGGGCTTGTGGGTTCCTGAGTCAGGAACTCGGGCACCAGAAAAAATAAAACTTTCGGATCATCCCTTGTACTGACAGTTGTGTGCCGTGGACCGGAAACAGAATTGAACGCGACTTTTTTATTAACTGTTGAAGGTTTGATTAGGAAATAGAATAAAGCCTGGTGTTTCGTATTGGGAACGAGACAACTGTTCACTGACGGCTGCTCGCAATTCAACCAGCGTACGCTTACTATATAAGTTCCGTCGTTGCCTTCAAACTGCTGTTCTGCATACAAATAATCATGTGCTGGTACGCTTTGCAAGACGTGCCCCGAACCCTTTAAAGCTTTAAGCAAATGAACTGCTGCTCATCAAAAATTTTGATGCAGCAAGCTCGAGCCATTTACTTACTGTGAAATATTTTCCCCACACATAAAAGTGTTACGATCATCATATCCTATCGAACTTTTGCAATACCTGTACTGTGTACATTTTTAATGAAGACGGAAACAATGTGATTAATAATCAATTTGTTGATGAGATGCAAGATACGGATTGCTGCCTCTACTTTCAAATTACAAAATTGAACGGCGAAGGTATATGGCAATTATAAATGTAGATTTTTAAATTCAGATTGAGCAGGTTTCATGAACCAGAGAAATTACAAATGTTCATTAATAAAATTTCGACACAATTTCACAATTTTCATCAACGAAGATGGAATCACTTCGAAGTAAAAATCCACGGAAACAATGAATTGTTTCTGAAAAATTCCTTTTTATAGATGATTTTTCGATACACTCAGAAAAGATCTACGAGACAAGAACTTTTAAACATTGACACTGGCTTTTATGAAATATCGCTCTTCCGATGTAACTTATTTATGAAAAGGCTGGACTTTTTATTTAGTGATGAATAAAAATCCTCTTCCATTGATTCCTTCGGAGAGCAGCTATCGTATTCGCGTAATTATTCAAGTATGCCGTACTTCTTTTTACGAAAAAAAATTGTAAGTCCAAAAAACGTTATACTGTATGCTCATCATCGATTTACGACACAGATATTCGCGTATACAGCTACAGTGATATGAGGCATATACACAGTACTTGCCCCACCTTCAGTCGAAGTAGCCGTGAAATGTGGTTTATAATAATACAAATCCTTTTCTGAATTCCTTTCAACATATTTCAACTGTTAATTCTTCCCATATCGCATTCTTATGTGCAAGACTCGCACCAGATTGTTTGCGAAGGAAACCGAGAGAATCCATTTCGTTAAGTTGTATTCAAGTGCGAATTGTGCGCATCCACGTTTTCTTTTCAAATTTTGGAAAAAGAGCGAGGATAGTGCAGAAATACTGTTAAATAATGTTTTTGCCTGTACTGCAAAAATGGGACGCTTCTTTCCTCCAAAATGCCCAATTTTTGGCAGCCTATGCATTTTGTTTGTTCCTAAAAACGGGGCACGTTCTGTCGTCAGTCGCACTTGGCACATTATCGAAATGTTCACACGCCCTGAAAATTTAAAGCATTTCCAATCTCGGGCTATAGAGGGAAGCTGGAATTTTGCAAGCGAGCCGTAGTCGTGGATTTAAGGCAAAGCCCTGGGTTCAGGTGATCCCAACGGCTAAAAGAAATCGCACACCTGTGGGAATAAATCGAACGTGGGGGGGGGGGGGGACTAGCGGAAATCCGCGATGTTACAACCGATGAACACATATCTTTTTTTTTTTAATCAGGAATCCCCGTGATCCGCGCGGGAGCAAAACACGACGATCGAAACCCGAAAAGGCAGGGCGTTCCCTTTTTCATGGCTAATAATCCCATGTGGAACGTCAATTAATTTGAAGCATCATTCACCTTATTAAGAAACGGATCCCGCGCACAAGTGTCCTCATTTGTTGAAAGCGTGTGAGGTTGTCTGGCAGCGATTGTCGAAGTCGGCCGACGCTGAGATCCCGAGATTTTTTCCTCGTTACCCTGATGAGGTGTCGCGGGATTGATTAAAAACTCCCGCGTAGGTCTGGAAACCTGTCGGATTCCTGCCGGTTTTGGGCGGAATTCTAAGTGGATTGTCTTGTACGGGAAAAGTCGTGGCACGGAAACAGTCCCGACGCATTGTTATTGCTGGGGATGACGTGAGTACGAGATGGGGTTCTTCCGTGTCATTCGATGGGGGAAGAGACCCTCGCGTGTTCATGCTATTGTACATCATATTTATATCGCGTCCCCAGTTCATGGGCTCCTGAGGACGTTCTGGGTTCGATTAGCCGCGGTGAAATAATTTCTTCCGCGAGATGTGGGGTCGTTAAACCTGGGGGATGATTTGTTTGAGGGAACCATTCAGCTATTGAAAAGCCCTTCGTCACTTCTGTTTGCCTTCGTGCCGTTGGATTGTTCGAGCTTCTTGAGCGTGGTTCAAATCCGAGAGTTTTTGTTTCGGCCTCAAGACCTTTTGTTGTACGAGTATACAGGGTGGATCAGAAATTGTTTTCCCATTTCACAACTGCAGTATCATAATACCCATAAAAATAATATGCTGAATTTAGGCTCGATGGAACTTTTGATGTGCAGTAATTGCACCCGAAGGGTATGTTATTTTGTAAGACTCTATATCAGAGGTCGAATCTGTTCATAATTTTTAGTTATTTATAATTATTTTTTTATTGGTCTGTTCAGGATAGCCAAATCATAATTTTAGACCTGATATTCTGAAAGTTTTTCTATGTAAAAAAAAAGGTTTTTCTGACTTCCCAATTGGTTTCTAGACCGAGATTATACCTTTATTGAGTATTTTATGTCTTCTATGGGGATATAAAAATAAGCAATTAATGAAGTAAAGCTACATTTTAATTCGAAGTCCAATTTCTCAAGAACAGGGAATGCTGAAAAGCTGAACATAAGCTCGAAGAAATACTACCTTTGACTAAATTTTATGTATCTATGCGTTGTAAATTGAACATATTGCAGTGTTATTTTATCATTTGGAGTGATTGGCACAAACATTTTCCCAGTAGGGAATGATATTTTTTGTTTTCGGGAATTTCTAAAAATAATTTGGCCAAAGAAGAATGAAGAGACTACTTTTTCAGGCTCAGATAATCTGAAATAATGACAATTTTTATCCGAGTTCCCTTTTTGTACAGAAGGCGCCTGCATAACAAAAGACCCTCACGATTAAATGCACCTCAATGAAAATGATGTACATAGTGAACTGAAAATCAGCATAACAAACTAAAACAGCTTTCACGCCGTCATTTTTTTCCATGAATTTTCTCTTAAATACAGCATTGCAGTGGGACCACTTCGGAAATCGTGATCCACAAAATGAATTCCCCAATTAATGAACACACTTACAAACTCGACTAGTTTTGTTTTGCAGGGACCGCATTGGATTGGATGAAGCCCTATATAGAGCATTGTACGTCAACCTAAACTTATGACTGCAGTTGATTCCAACTTATCATTCTCTGAACAGCTTACTTTCAACTTCATCATTCCTTTTGGTCGCATTTTCATTTCAATTCGTCCCGAACTTGAATATGCTAAATAGCGTATTTATTAAAACTCCTTTGAAAGCTCAGCTTTATCTGTGTAACAACTTATGTGCTCTCTCCGTACCTTGGTACATTACTTGCGCTCCTAATTGAAAAGTCTTGCCTGGAAGAGCAGGTTAGCAGGTAGAAATTCTGACATCTAAATTTCATGAGAATGTAAATATTTTTATTGTCGGTTGAAAATGGGTCAGCATTTTTGTTGGGTACCGTGTGTATCTTTTTATTTCGGTCTCGGCGGCATTCCTTACCTGCGCCGAGGCCGACGGCGATCACAACGTCTTGACGATTGGGATTTGTGGGTTTCAAAAGCTGGGTTTATTGTTGGGATGTGACGAGAATCGGTTTCTTGGCTCAGGGAGCAAAGCCCGGTGCGTAGTCAAAAGTGACGGATGTCGTCTGCACTCGCTGACCCGACAAGCACCCTTCTCTCCGGAACTTCCGAGTTTCTTTTCTTCTGAATAATTTTTTTCTGTGTGGTTCCAAGGGTTTTATATTTTTTGCCGACGAGAATGTGATTCCGGGTCCGAGCCGACGGTGAACAGGTGCGCTTCGGGTAAACGACACTTCTCTCTTTCTGTGTGGGGGAGTTGGTGGCTGCTTCTTCTGCGTACGGGATCGGAAAATGCATTCCTTCCGTGGGTTCTGGAAGTGTTTTCTCAGCCCCAGCAATTGCCTCGGCTTTTGCCGCAACAACTCGTGTTGGCAGCGACAAGTTCCTTCTCTGGAGAACATTCATCTATCTTATTTTCGGTTCATTCGAACAGCCAGCTGCGAACTTCATAAAGCTTCCCCTGGCGAAAGGTTTATGGATAAGACAGCATTTTTCATACTAATGATCGGTTGCTACCGCGCATTCAAATCCTCAAGTTCAAAACCATCTTCCAGGCGAGGATTCTTGTGAGAAACATATCTCATTTCGTATTAGCTGCACTGAAATTACCTACAAAAAAATCACTCGTGAACTTCAATTGATTATATGGGCTCATGACCGCATGCATTCTTCCGAATTATCAAATGGCACGGATAATTTAAAATCCGTATTGTAGTCAAAAGATAAAGTAATTAATAAATTAAATTAAAGTAATTAAGATAAAGTATCCAGGATAAACTCAGATACAATAGTTTGAAATATCCCCGCATATTTCAAAGTGCACTAGCCCATGCAGGTAACGATTGAGGGAAATTTAATGAATCAAGTTGAAATTGCAAATTATTATACAGGCTGATTTTTGAACTTTTCGTAACACATTAATTGTGAATGTAGAAATTCAAAATATCTCTGTATACCGTAAATTTGTCCGTGAGCAATTCAATATATCAAGATCAACATGATAAACCGGAAAAAAGTTGAAAAACTACTGTACCAGTAAAATTGTGTATTTGTCAAGCATGCAGCAATGATGTCTGATAAGTTTCATAAATAGGGGTAAACCTAATTTAGAGTAAATCAAAGCACAAAAGCCCAGAACGTACAAGAATATCGCCTGCTCCGAAAAATACTGCACTTACTCCCATTATATACGCGTATATAACCGATAAAACGTTAGGGTTTTTCCTATTCGATGACGGAGACGGGATATGATTTATTAGCCGAGTCGTTTAGGGATGAGGCTTGAGAATGATCCGTGTCACATGAAATATTCGAACTATTTAACGAGTATGGAGACGGTCTCATTCTCGATCACGACTCCAGGAATTCTTCATTCGTCAGTCGCCCATGTTTATTGCCGGGGTCTTTGCGTCGGACTTGACTCGAGTCCCCTTCGAAAACTAAAAAGATTTCCACCGACGATCAGCTCATATCCGTCTTTTGGTAATGCTGCAAATACTGTAGTTACATACCATGGCAAAACACGAGTTCCATTATTAAAAACGAAGAACAAAAACGGAGGTTAGTAGTGAGCTGATATCCGTCTTTTGATAATGCTGTAAATACTGTAGTTGCATAACATGGCGAAACACGGGTTCCATTATTGAAAACAAAGAACAAAAACGGAGGAAATGCACTGGTGTCTGTCTCGGTTACGACACTCTGGAGACCACGAAGTTGGCACAATTATCGAAAAAGTCCCATTCTATATGATCTTCTGTTTTCTCGCAGGAGGCCAATTTGGAGTATAAATGATTTCGTTGCATGACGAGGACATCGTTGTACAGGGGAGTCATACTGTGCCCAATAGCACGGAAAATTTCTGGCAAATTCTCGAGCAGCAATGTTTCCCTAATTTCGAAAAGCTCGCTTTGGGCTCGACTGAAATTTCAATTCAATGGTTTCTGAGTGGATCATATCGCCTTGCTTCATTCTGTGAAGCTATGGTTGATATTTTCATTTTAGTAATATACCTGGAAATAATTTCAAAAATCGGGGGAAGCGTATTCCAAACTGAAGTGGCCTGAAAACTGTGATCTTTAGTCGTGCATAAAAAAATTTGAAACCTAACTCGAGTTGAAGTGGTGCGCAATTATTTTTATTACATGCGGTATCCTAGATTTTGTGGCCATTTTAAATGCACACAAGAAAAATGTGCAGAATTTGGAAGTTGACCGTCAATTTTGTATCATTCCAGCTTGAACTTCCAACAATAAGCATGGAGGTACAGTTGAAAATATGACGGGCCAAATATTCTCGTACTCCCACAATTAATATCATTTTTTGTGTTCGGGAATTCAGTAGTTCTTACCTGTTACGAAGAGATTAACGTTTGCTTATTGTTATCACGAAAGACATGTGTGCTAATCGTTGCGACAGCAACAAAGCCAGAATGACTTGCGTGTCTCACATCTGTTGGTTTAGTAACTTGAGAAACCCCACCCCGAGATTTGCATTTTGGCTTACCACCAGTTTGCACGATGTGCCAGTTCCGTCAGCTGACAATATTTGCTAATGCAGATACCAAAGAAGTAGGTCGGAACTCGTGAAAGCCGGAAAACTCTTTCGAGATGCTAGTCCGGAATGCAGTGCGTCACTGTCGAGATTTCCTTCCCTGGTGGCCAGGAACAGACGCAGAGAAGAAAACGGCTTGTGGTGATAAAATTAACTTCAAGATGAGCTATGAGCAGGTCTAGATCAACAGAGAATTTTTTGCTCCTTGTAGCTGGGATGATTTTTTTGACAGAAAGCTAATTCTCCTCGGATTAGAAGTGATCTTCTCCGGGTCTTGTTGCGTCTAAACCTGCGCTTTTCGCCTCCACAGCTATACTCGCTCATTTTCTTGATCCCCATCGACTATATACAACCAGGCAAGCTGTCTCCTTGAGTACATTTTTTGCTATCAAAGTAAAAAAG